GCTAAATCTAGGCCACTTTGCCTGAGCAACTTCCTAGTTGTCAGAGCTCCTGTGTGTTGCTATCGCCTGTATCCTGCATTGACTACTCGCGTACTGACCCCGGCTTCGTTCTCTGACTGTGCTTGTTTTCCACCCGTCCTGACCTCGGCTAGTCTATCGGATTTCCATTTGTCTCCTCCCATTGTACTCTGCTCCTGCAAGCAGTCTCCTAATCCTCAGCTAGGCGTACCCTGGGGCTGCAACCTGGTCCCAGCTTGGTGCAAGTCCATCCCCACCATCAGGGGCTCTGGTGAAGAAGCAGGCTAGGGCTTAGACTCCGTGCCCTGGGGAACCCCAAGTTGACTATCTACAAGGGCTCACTACCACAGCTGCTGACAGTTTTCTTAGGCCATGAGCTCCTCAGAAACCCACAGCCTCTCCTGGAACAACTCCAGTGTTTGGTGCAGAGAGTCGATGTCCAGCAGGCCTATCAGGAATGTATTATGCAGTGTCTGCAGGAACTTTCCTCCCGGTTGGATCAGCTGCAGGTTGTGTGTCCCCTTCCTCACCCTTTGTTTCGGCTCCTGCTCCGGTTCCTGCTGCTCCAACCCCCCCGTTAATCCAGTGGAACACAGTTCTTCGAAACTCCAGCTGCCTTCACCGCCTCACTTCTCTGGTGATCCCAAAGCTTGTCGGGACTTCATCAATCAGTGCTCAATTCACTTCGAGCTAGCAGACCACCATTTTTTTACTGACCGTTCCAAGGTGGCGTACATGATTTCCCTCCTTTCTGGTGAAGAACTGGCTTGGGCCTCGCCACTGTGGGAGCATCAAGATCCAACTATTTTGCAGCCTCTCATCCTTCCTGCAAGCTTTCCGTAAAACCTTTGATGTGCCCGGCAGGACTTCATCTCCCGCAGGAACACTTCTTCGGCTTCATCAAGGTAGCATGACTGTTGGACAATATGCAGTTCAGTTTCACACCTTAGCTTCGGAACTGGTATGAAATAATGAGGCCCTTTCTGCAACCTTTTGGCAGGGTCTAGCAGACCCGTATTAAGGACGAACTAGCTGGAAGAACCATACCCACCACCCTGGATGACTTGATTACTCTTAGCATCCAAATCGATATCCGCTTCCAGGAGCAAGATCTGGAAAGGGCTCGTCCACGTCACACCCCAGTGCGTTCATTTGCTCCTGTTTTCCAGAAAGCCCCTGATCAACTTACCTCTGCAACAGTACCGACATCTGAAGAGCCTATGCTGTTAGGCCGAACACACCTCACTCCACAAGAGAGATCGCGGCACCTAAGATTTGGTCTATGCCTTTACTGTGGGGCTGAAGGTCATATAATTAAGTCCTGTTCTGTCCGTCCAGGAAACTCTCGGATCTAGGTCATTCTGAGGGAGGTGATCTAGACCAGAACCTGAATTCCGCCACCTTCCCTCGATTTAACATACCTGTCTCCATTCATTGGGGCCTGAACTCGTACCAGGTTTCTGCTTTTGTACTCTGCTCCTGCAAGCGGCCTCCTCATCCTCAGCTGGGCGTACCTGGGGGCCACGACCTGGGTCCCAGCTTGCTGCAAGTCCATTTCCACCATCAGGGGCTCTGGTAAAGAAGCAGGCTGGGGCTTAGACTCCGCGCCCTGGGGAACCCCACGTTGACTATCTACAAGGGCTCAGTTCCACAGGTGCTGACAGATGTAAAAGTGGTTGGGAATCCCCATTTATCTAAAACCTAACGCATATATTCCCAGGATAGAGAATCAAATGCATTATGCATATCCAGGCCAAGAACCATACTGGGGGTTTGATTGTGATGCAGTAAATGGATAAAATGAATTACTTTGTGAGTATTATTAAGAGCCTGTCTAAAGGAGATGAAACCCACCTGATATTTATGAATAAGGTGGTGCAAGAATGAGTATATCCTAATAGCGAGGATTTTGGCAGGAATTTTAATATCGACATTTAGCATGGAGATGGGTCGAAAATTATGGGGGTCTTGGGTGTTCTTCCCAGGTTTCAGGTTCATGACTATTTGGGGCGTCGTTGACGACGGATGTAGATCAGTGTGGGAACATAAGTGGTTGAGTAAGTTTGTCAGATGGGGAGCAAGGATATTGGAAAATTTTTTGTAGTATAATGCCAAAAATGCCAACCGTCAGGTCCAGGGTTTTTTTGCTTCTTTACTGTTTTAATTGCTGCAAGGACTTCAGTGACAGTAATATCAGCCTTCATTTTATCAGACATAAATTGGGAAAGGCCAAGGAGATGGCCTTTTCGAAAGGACCTGGCATCTGCCAGGTCCTTTCGAAAAGGTTGCGAGGGTTGATACAATGTGGACAAAACTGAGGTAAAAGCATCCACAATTTTGGATTAGCTGTTATGACTTTGTTAGGTAAACATAACATGATTGGTTTAGTGTCCTGGGTATGGTACTTTGAGAAGGTTAGCCAGCATCAGGCCTGGCTTATTGGTGCATGCATAATATTACTGCCAAGACCATCTAATCTGCTTTTCTGCCTTGTCATCAAGAAGAAGATTCAATCCCACTTTGATAGCTTCCAGCCGTTTGCATAAAGAAGCAGAGCGGGACGCTTTAAATTGAGCTGCCAGCTGTGCAAGATAAGTATTCTATGCAAGAGTCCCTCTCCTTCTTCTTACGGGATGCAAGAGTAGTGCTGAGGGGCTGAAGCTAACGATTTACAGATAAGTAGAAGGGGCAAATGGTCAGACCATGATGTGGACAAAATCTTCACATGAAGGACATCCGGAATGAATGTTTGAGGAATGAGAAAATAGTCTATTCGCGTGTGGCAATTGTTAGGAGCTGAATAGTAGGTATAATCCCACACTCGAGAGTTAAACTCTCTTTAGGCGTTCACTAAAGCGTGTCAGTGAGGAGAACCAAAAAGTTGCTGTGTTTGTGAGTTAGCCGCAGTAGGAACCTGGGAGGGAGATCTGTGTACTTTTAAAACAATTTCAGTGATACTGTAGATAATCTTTTGATGTGTGAGGGGACACAGACACTCATGTCTTCAGCAACAAGTCCACAGGCAGGTGGTCACTACACCCAAACATCAGGAAGAAGGGTATATAGCCAGTGGCTGTGTGAATGCTTGTAGGCCCAAACTACTTCTCTCACATGATGGGGCCATTGATCCTGATATCTGTCCTCTAGTGTTCTGAGCATATTAAGTAGGGTGCAAAAATGTGCTTACCAGATCAATTTGTTTGAGAGCGATATGGGGTTTTGGGTAATTTGCAGTTCCCACTTAGCTGACATAGTTTCGTGAAGACTTGGGACTTGATCTAAGATTTACTTTGGAGAACCATACAGTTGTACATCATGAGTGCAGCACAGCTTGGTTGTAGTGACCACAGTCTGACCATGAGTACAAACCACTATAACGAGCTTGGGAAGGTGAGCCACAAACACTAGAGCATAACAAAATCCAGAGGACAGCTCAGCTACTGTTAAAAAGTTCACAGTTAGAAATTCAAAGGGTTTAACATGGAGCTCACCAAAGGAGTGATTTGGTCAATGCGCATCAGGTACAGACCGCAGTTCTGACATTCCTGACAAACTCATGGCACCCAAGCTATCAATCCTGGGCAGTGGAAATGTCACCTGACATGAGCCTCTGTGCAATCCACACTGTCAGGAACATGGTGCCAGTTGCCAGGCCAATGCACATGCATGCAGGCACATTTCTATGAGCATAGAATACAGACTGCACATTCATCATTGCGCACATGTATGAGCATGTGAACAGCCACTGCTGCCAAGCGGTCTATTTAAACCTGAACTCTGCACTAGTTTTTTGCTCTATGATCTTCAACCTTGTTTCTATGATCCAGTCTTGATGTGCATCCTTCATCCTGTTACTGACCTGGCTTCCTCTCTGAACTTGCTCTCGGATTACCCTTACCTGCTAATGTTTGCTGTCATGACTTCATTACCAATCCCAGCCTGGGCTACTGACCATGCTTCTGCCTATTGACTCTGTACCCCTTTTCCCAATTGTTACCAACTTCTGTCTGTTCTTGACTGATTCTACTTACGTCCTGGTGTCCTTCCAATCAGCTTTCGCTTAACCAGGTGTGGGACCTGACTCTACTGTCAACTAGATTTAGTGCTTTCACAGTGCATCACCAGCTGTACCAGTGCTTGCCAAATACCAGATAGAATGACAGAGCAGCTAACACCCTAGATTGCGTCACAACAACTTTACATAAAATCACAAAAAAATAATATAAGTGCAGCACTCCCCAATATTGAATATGCAAACACATACAGTACATTTTTAATGACTAACAAAAAATAAATTATACCCTTATAAATAAATTAAATAGTATGATAATCACATCTGTGAGTAACCACCAAATACACATGTGCTCATTAAATCATTAACATATCATATAATCCAAAGAAGATGCAAATCAAGTAGTGAATGAAAATAGAATACAAATAACAGTCCCAATCAATAGTCCACAAATCTTGTGCATGTGCCACTACTTGATTTGCATCTTCTTCAGATTATGTGATATGTTAATGATTTAATGTTCATATGTGTATTTAGTGCTAACTCACATATGTGATTATCATATTATTTTTTATATTTTTTTAGTAATTAAGAATATATTCCATAATTTCTTAGCAGCAACACAGCTTCCTCAGAAATGCTGCTGCTATGCTTAAATAAATAAATATAATACTGATTATACAATCCAATATAATGTCATTTCTCATACCTGCGGTTATATTACAAGTGCTTATCAATTTACTCAGAAATTAACCTCACAAAAAGTAGTGAATTTTGCATTCTCAAAAGAAGTCAATTTTGCATTCTCTGTGCTTTTGGAAATGGGAGATCAGTGGTGATAGTTTTTTAGTATGGTGATCCGCAGAAGGAACAAAATGACCAAGCTACAAAAAATGTTTATTAACAAAAATATTCGGACACCCCTTCAAATCATTGGATTCAGGTGTTTCATGGGCACAGATTTATAAATTAAAGCACCTAGCCATGCAGACTGCTTCTGTAAACATTTGTGAAAGAATGGTTCACTCTCAGGAGCTTAGTGAATTCAACCATGGTACTGTGATAAGTTGCCACCTGTGCAATAAGTCAATCCATAAAATTTCCTTGCTACTAAATATTCCACGGGCAACTGTTAGCAGTGTTATAACAAAGTGGAAGCAACTGGGAACAACAGCAACTCAGCCACAAAGTGGGGGGCCACGTAAAAATGACAGAGCGGGGTAAGCACATGCTGAAGCGCACAGTGCGCAGAAGTCGCCAAATGTCTGCAGAGGCAAGACCTCCAAACTTCATGTGGCCTTCATATTAGCACATCAACAGTGCATAAAGAGCTTCATAGAATGGGTTTCCATGGCCGAGCAGCTGCATCCAAGTCTTACATCACCAAGTGCAATGCAAAGCGTCAGATGCAGTGATGTAAAGCATGCCGCCACTGGACTCTAGTTCTCTGGAGAGACGAAGCACACTTCTCTGTCTGGCAACCCAATGGATGTGTCTGGGTTTGGCACTTTTCAGGAGAAAGGTACTTGCCTGACTGCATTGTGCCAAGTGTAAAGTTTGGTGGAGGGGGGGATTATGGTGTGGGGTTGTATTTCAGGGGTTGGGCTTGGCCCCTTAATTCCAGAGGAAGGTAACTTTAAGACGTCAGCATACCAAGACATTTTGGACAATTTCATGCTCCAAACTCTGTGGGAACAGTTTGGGGATGGCCCCTTTCTCTTCCAACATGACTATGCACCAGTGCACAAAGCAAGGTCCATAAAAAAATGGATGAGGGAGTTTGGAGTGGAGGAACTTGACTGGCCTGCACACAGTCTTGACCTTAACCCGATAGAACACCTTTGGGATGAATTAGAGTGGATACTGTGAGCCAGGCCTTCTCGTCCGACATCAGTGCCTGACCTTCACTTCTAGAAGAATGGTCAAACATTCCCATAGACAAACTCCTAAACCTTGTGGACAGCCTTCCCAGAAGTTGAGTTGAAGCTGTTATAGTTGCAAAGCGTAGGCAGAGAATGTAAAATTCATTTTTTTTGAGAAATTAATTTCTGAATATATTGGTAAGCACATGTAATATAGTGACAGGTATGATAAATTAAATTATATTGGATTTTATTTATTTTTATTCAGCTTAAGCATACAACAGCACTTCTCCTGAGGAAGCCATTCATTGGTATAACATGTTGGAAAAATAACACCTGTGTGTGTTGCAGCTAAGAAATTATGCCAGAGAGAACGTTTGTTGTGAACACATTTTTATGGATGTTTTAATTATGAAACAAAGTTGTGATATAGTTTTATATAAAAGCCCTTTTTTGTATTGGATACTTTGTACCTTTTAAAATGCTTTACTATTTTTTCTGTACCTATTGAAATATATTTTGGGATGTGGTGCATATCCAACATTCATCCCCTACCGACACATTAAGTTTAAGAATACACTGTATGTGTTTGCATATTTATGATTGAGAGGGTGCTGTGACTTTGGTACTTGTGCCTTTCCTTCACCCCTGCAGTCCCTGTCTCAACATCCAGGGGCACTTGGATGGGAACTCTGCAAGAGGGGACCCTTGTCATATCAGGCTCTGCATACAGGTACGTGATACACACCAAATTGTCCTATGAAAGAATACAGAAGCTAGAAAACCCCCAACGCAGTTGACTGAGGAACTACTATCAGATAGATGTCTCATTGTTCAGTGGGGATGCAAGCACACTGGTGCAATACTCCCACCTGTATCTCTATGTGGTCCTACTCCTGAAGATAACTGTTGCACTTTGGACGAAAGCCAAAGCCACTCTCTATAGGAGGGTTACTTTTTTCTGGAAAGGAATTACCACATTTATGCAATGTCAAGAGTCTTTCAGTTGAAGAGTTGCCCATTCTTCCAAGGTATAAACTTCAACTACCTTTGGTAGAAGTTGGGTACCTTGAACTACTGGCACATTTTGACCTTGCACTTGTAATACTTGTGAAGGAGTCACTTAAATTTCTTCTAGACACTGATCTACTGTACATCTCCTTGCTCTTGTACATCATGGAGTTCTTGATGTGCAGGACTCTGAGATGCCACTTGGCTTCCAGAAACTGCAAGCATTCTGCCAAAAAGTCAGGTAATACTGTGATCATTATTTTGGAGGATGCCTCTGGAAGAGGTGGTTTTGCAGCCATATGGTGGTCCTGCTCTGCCACAAGGTGGAGGTGAAATGACCTTTACCATAGTTGTCAGTGAGCAGACATTCCAAGAATGTAGTAAGATCTGAACCCTCAGCACTCTCTGGGAGGCTGAAGAGCCTAATATTACTGTGCTGCAGTCTGCTTCTGAAGCCATCTTGCTTCTGGGTTTATCATATGGAGCCATTATTGCATCTGCCTGGAAGCATTTTGCTGTGGGACTACCATCTGACAAAGCTGAACCTACAACTCCTCAACCCTATGAAATTGCGAAGATCATGACAGATTAAGGAGATATCTAACTTGACCTTTCAATTCTTAGACGTCAAGGTTGAAATAGCCTCAAGGTCCTGGAAGACCAATGTGGCTTTATCTGAGGGTCCACCATCTTCCCCATGTGCATGCTTTATCTTGGAAGTGATATTTATCCTGTTTAGACACTGAGTTTGGAGCTCTCAGAGGGAGAGACATATTTACCATGTGTGGCGGGGAGGGGTAGCTGGGTGACACTGGAGATGGGTTATCCAGATATCCAAACAGAATGAGTAGAGCTAGTCATATGCATCCTACTTCATGCTGTACCAGACCAAACCTAGTGGATTTTTAAAATTAATTAAATTGCCATCCCTGCCCATACTTGCTTGACTTGGGGAGGTAGAACCCTACAAGGGCAAAATATAAGCAAAAAAATAAAAAAATTGTAAATATTGCAGTGAATGTTTTGTGAGTGATCCCACCTATTATGCCATGCAGTGTGAGCTCTAGAAGGAACACACGGATTGGGTTACTAATCCATGCCTCATAGCAGGTCAACATTTTTTTTTTGGTGGAGAGGTCCTAGATGATGGGCCACTGGCATGATAATAGAGTGATAATAGAGGGAAATGAAGGTAGAGGAAGAAAAGATAATGGAGGAAAGGGAGGAGGGGGAGGAGGAGAACATGGTTTCATTAAGAATGCTCAGCTTGACATGTGCTCAGGGGCATCCCTAGGGTTGGTGTCACCCAGTGCGATAACACTTGGTGACACCCCCTCTGACGATCCCCACAGAATAGATCGGATCTGCGGATTTAGCATAATGGATCGGTGTCCGATCCATTATGCTCCCCAATCCGCAGATCCAATCCATCCTGCGAGGATCGTCAGCATGTAACCTATACGGGGTGACACCGGACTCGATCCACGAAAAGGTAAGTTGTAAAGCAAGCCGACGATCCCCGTAGGATGGATCGGATCTGCGGACTGGGGAGCATAATGGATAGGACTCAGAGAAGCCAGCTTTCAGCTGTTGCAGAGAGAATACCATACAAGGGATCGTTTCCAGTAATACTCCACGCTGTGTCGATCACCCTCCCTGCCCACGTTTGATTCACTCAGATGTCTGGGTTGCCCTGCTGGCCTGGGCCCCATACAGGAGTACTGGTGGTACCCCCTTATCCACAGCCCTGGTGGTCAGAGGTGGTCAGAGTCAGGTTTTAATTTGTCCCATTGCTACTTTATGAGAAGAGTAGAAGCTGCAACCTTGTATTAAATCTGTCACACAATCTGTCCCACTGCTCCTATTTCGAATTTACTTCTGTGAAACAGAATTGATAAATGTTCCCCTCAATGCACAGCTGACAAAAAAACTACCTTTTGTGAAGAATGTCACTTTTTGTTTTCATTGTAATAAAATATTAAGCCTTTTAAACCTCTATGCACGTTAAGTATTGAGATTGCTGATAAATATTGAAGAAATTAACAAAACTTTGTAAATGAAATAAAAAAAGAAACGTAGTTAAAAAGGGATCATTGGGACTGAAGTACAAAATTTCCATCTGCACTCACAGCTTTCCCCGAGTCCCCCTGAAAGGTACTACAACAAGCTGTTGAGCTATGGCTGCACAAAATACATCTTCATGCGATAAAGGGACAACACAGCTGCACTGCTCCTGAATTAAGAGCAGAGTCGCCTTTCTCTTGTAGGCGGTGTCTGCCTGAACTATGCTGGAATGAAACAAGGGTGTAGAGGATGTGGATATCAGCATTGTCACTGCTGATTCACAGGTCTGTAGCTTATCATTCAGCACCTGGTCAAATACAGTGCTGCCCACAGCTTTTGGATTGGCAGAACTGATTGTGTTATGGAAACCCTTCCACTGTGAGCTGCAGTGTCTAGGAGGTGGAGCATGTGAGACCCAAATGATGGAGGATTTGGCTCAGTCAATAAAAATAAAGGAATGTTCAAACATTTGCTTATACATTTAAATGGAACTGGATGTGGTACTGGTTCAGACTGTCAAACAAGAGACTTTAGTTGTACTTTAGGTTTGATGAAATTCCAAGCTCATTTCTAGTGATTCAGGTGCTGGACTTTTTCACATTTTCAGCAAGTACAGAAGATACATGTTGATCTTGCCAGAAATGCAGTGTCCTTGTCGCTTTCTTATGCTGAACTAAAAACATGCACAGTGTTATCTTTTGTCTACAAATTGATGCTCCCCTTTTCACTTTATGTAATAAAATAAAAGCCTCAATGCAGTACAAATATTGAGAGTAGCTAATGGAACATTGAAGAAAACAGATAGAGGAGTGATAAAAAAAATGTAGCCATCTTTTGTGAGGTGTTATGAAAAATGACCCTCCCCAAATAGAATATTGTGCTAAACCTGTAGGTGAAAAAGAGAACCAGAACCTTCGCTAAGTGGAGGAGAGGGTTTGATAAAAAAAAGTTGGCAGTGTCTCCACTCAAGACAGGATCTCTGTAATAGAGGGGATTTCCTTGTCAACCTTTTTATCAGACAGGAAGTGAAGGAACCTGACCAAATGGAGCCTCCAACAACAGTAAAACCTGAGAGAAGTTCTGATCGTCCTTACTCTATCCAAAACATAAAGCTGAACTCTGGGCAAAAAAAAGTTTTAGCTTGCAGTGGGGTTGTGCCCAGACTGTAAGGGTTAATTACTCAATCTTTGTCTAGGGGGGAGGTATACTTGCCTGATTCTCCAATCCGCCCTGTGCAAGACCACACTCTAGTGGTCTGGAGTCTTGATATCATGAACCGAAGAGCAGGCTCCAAAGACCAGCTTTGGACATGAGGACAACATGAACAGTCCATTACTGGATCGTGGGGGAGCACTGTTTTCAGGTGGAGTGGAGAATCAGGTGAGTATAAGGCTTTCTCCTTTGGACAAAATGAGCACTTACAGTGTTACTAAACCCAAGACCTGGCATTCACTATATCTGGTCTCTCACAGTACACACAACATGGAAATGCAGTTATTTTTGTAAATATAAACTGCTAAATACCTTTTCTCATCAGCAGTTAGAGCAGTCTTGTGACTTCAGCAGAGCAATGGTTAAAACTTGTAGGAGGAGTTTTCTTTCTGCTCAAGGAGAATGCACAA